TATATTATTTTTGTTTCTCATCGTTTATGTTCATCTGTTTTGTCTCTTAAAGTCCTCATATGAGTGAAGTCATATGATTTTTGTCTTTCTCTGACTGACTAATTTCACTTAGCATAATACACTCCAATTCCATCCACGTAGTTGCAAATGGCAAGATTTCATTCTTTTTGATTGCTGAGTAATACATCCCACTCATTATATGCTTTGTGAGGACAGGTACTTTGTTTTATTTTCTGCTGTATCCTTAGTACCTTAAAACAGTGCTTGGCACTAAGTTTTTGAGAGATTAGGTAATTTCTCCAAGGCTTCCCAAATAGTAAATGAACAGAACAAAGATTCTACCAATAGATATCTAATTTAAGATGTATGTTTTTAACTAGTACATTCTACATCATTTTGGCAGTATCATGGTAATACAGGATTAGTTACAGCTAAATGATTCAGTATTAATCAGAGACCATCATACAGGAGTGAGAGGAAGGATGCTGAGCATCATCTGTCTGTAGCTTCAGGGCTTTGGAACAGAGAAGCAAAGCTCCAGGCAAGATGGTAGATAAAAGGGTAAGGGTCAGAGTGAATTATCCTAGAGTAAGTGCGTTACACTTCAGGAGAAGCAACTGGTGGCATGCTTAGTTTACTCAAAGCCACAAGATAAATCATGTCACATTATCCTTAAGTATCAATTTTATTGATGGTAAGTAAACATTGTACATATTAAAGCAAATCTATCTTCTTCAATTTCTTGCATAAGCTTTCTATAATTTTTAGTATACAGATCTTTTACCTCTTTGGTCAGGCTTATTCCTAGGTATTTTATGGTTTTCAGTGCAATTATAAATGGGATTGATTCCTTTATTTCTCTTTCTGCTGCTTCATTATTGGTGTATAGAAATGCAACCAATTTGTGTACATTGATTTTATATCCTGTGACTTCCGAGGTTCTAGCCGTTTTTTGGTGGAGTCTTTCAGGTTTTCCTCGAAATGGAAAAACATTCCATGCTCATGGATTAGAAGAACAAATATTGTTAAATTGTTGATACTACCCAAAACAATCTACACGTTCAGTGCAATCCCTATCAACATAACACTAGCATTTTTCACAGAGCTAGAACAAACAATTCTAAAATTTGTATGGAACCAGAAAAGACCCCAAAAAGCCAAAGTAATGTTGAAAAAGAAAACCAAACCTGGAGGCATCACAATCTCAGACTTCAAGCTGTATTACAAAGCTGTAATCATCAAGACAGTATGGTGTTGGCACAAGAACAGACACATATAGATCAATAGAACAAAATAGAGAACCCAGAAATGAACCCACAAGTGTATGGCCAACTAATCTTCCAAAAATCAAGAAAGAATATCTAATGGGAAAAAAAGCAGTCTCTTCAGCAAATTGTGCTGGGAAAACTGGATAGTGACATGCAGAAGAATGAACCTGGACTGCTTTCTTACACCATACCCCAAAATAAACTCAAAATGGAGGAAAGACCTCAATGTGAGACAGGAAAACATCAAAATCCTAGAGGAGAAAACAGACAACAACCTCTTTGACTCCAGCCACAGCAACCTCTTACTTGACATGTCTCCAGAGGCAAGGGAAACAATAGCAAAAATGAATTATTGGGACCTCATTAAGATAAAACGCTTCTGCACAGTGAAGGAGAAAATCAGCAAAATTAAAAGGCAACTGACAGAACGGGAGATGAATAGATACTTTTCCAAAGAAGACATCCAGATGGCTAACAGACATATGAAAAGATGCTCAACATCACTCATCATCAGAAAAAGACAAATCAAGACCACAATGAGACACCACCCATCTGTCAGAATGACTAAAATTAACAACTCAAGCAACAACGGATGTTGGAGTGGATGCAGAGAAAGGTGTCCCCTCTTGCTCTGTTGGTGGGAATGCAAACTGGTACAGCCACTCTAGAAAACAGTATGGAGGTTCCAAAAAAAATTAAAAATAGAACTACCCTATCGCCTAGCAGTTGCACTACTAGGTGTTTATCCAAAGGATAAAAAAAATGCTGATTTGAAGGGGCACATGCACCCCAATGTTTATAGCAGTGCTATCTACAATAGCCAAATTATGGAAAGAGCCCAAATGCCATCGACTATGAATGGATAGAGAAGATGTTATATATATAACATCATAGTTGACATAATAGTTGAGTGACCAACTCCTTGCAGGAGTTATAGTCTCTATGAGAGGGTATGGTAAAAGTGGAGGGTAAGACTTTTGCTGCATTAATACTCAGCCTGTGCTGAAGGAGACCCAGGAAGTGAAGCAGGACTATTCAGAAGGCACAGGTCACCAAAGGATATAGCTTCTGAGGATGGGATTTGGCAACAGCAGGGAAAATAGGTAAAGGTTACCCATACCTGATGTTTTCAGGCCTGAACAGTACTGATCTGTCAATATCCGAGGACAGGGTTCAGTGACTTTGGTCATTGGACCATTAGCTCACACAGACAAGATGGGTGATTTGAATGTAAGTCAGAGTCATGGAAAGTATGTTTTTGACAATTATAGAATTTTTGAAGCACCTGACTTAGGCATATTTTTATTCCCATATTTTAAATGAATAAACAGAAAATCTGAGAAATTAAGTGGCTTTTCTACATTCAGCTTTTAGCAAACTGAAGAGCCACTTTGATAAAGATCTCAACTTCAAATCTTCCACAGAGTGCTTCCCCCATTGTTTATTGCCATGAGGGACATAGTGGGAGTTTTGTTTAATATACACAAGAATTTTGTGATGGGGGTATTACTGCCTCATTTTATAGGTAAAGAAATTAAGGGACAGAAAGAGTAAGAAATCTGTAAAAATTCACATTGTATATTGGAAGCAAAGTAAAAAACTCTAATCCAGTGGCTTAGTAAATTTCTATTGCTTGAAAAAAACCCATACACTGCCCAATAAGGTCACATTTACCTACCCTCTTAAGGATCTGGCAGCCCCTGCACCCCCAGGAATGAATTTAAAACAAAGTGTTCATATTCCCCATGTGCTCCCTACCCCCACCCCTCCCCCACCTTAGCCCGCTGGGCTTCTTTTAGAACCTTCACAGAAGTATGTCCTCATCTTGGGTGAAATTTGGGCTGTCTGCTAGGGAAATTACTAGATGTCTACATTTCCTGACTATAGACATCTGAAGTTTGTTATGTCATAAAACAGGAAGTGTGGCAACAACTTTCCCTTCTCAAAACAGAAGGGCTGCAGTTTCCTTTCTATTATCTGGATCGTGGGGATTACTTTTGGTGTAGAATTCTGTTTATTTCTTTATCTACCATAGACTCGGCCTCTCCCCTCTCCTCAACTGCAGTATTTATTCTTTGCTAACACCACAGAAGAACTTGTGTCTTCACAGAATACTGATATAATTCTAACATCCCCTCCACCCCAACACATATTATTGCTGGTAACTTCCTTTAGGCAAGTTCTAACACTTAATGTATTATCTCATTTTTTAAAACTATAGGTGACCATGCAAATTGGACAAAAATTATGAATCATAGGAATATAGGACTAGAGCTTAGTAATAAAAAATAAAATGACAATTTTCTTTGACATATATCTGATGATATTCATAGTCATTGTGGTATGTTGTTACTAGACATAAATTGGCGAGCAGTTCACTTAGGTGACTATAATTTCCATTAGTTTTATAGTATTCCCTTATGGCTTAATTCTTGTTACTCAGAACACACAGACATCTCTTTTTTCCATTTACTGAGAAAGGTATGTAGTTAATTTTGTTGCAAGTGCAGAGAATAGCCAGGATGCTCCAAGACTTTTCTACCCTTTTCTTGCCTTTCTTCCAGTGTGGCCAAATGAGCTCTGTTTCCTCCTGGAAATGATTTCCATTTGTCTCTGGTGTTCCCTTGCTACTACGATATGCCTACTTTTTGCCTACTCCCCATGCTTCCTTGAGCAGTCCTCCTCATTTTTACTCTTTGGTCAACTGGACCAGCTCTGAGTTGGTGTGATGCCAACATGGATAAGGCTGTGGCATCTTTGGGTCACTAAGCTGTACCTGCTCATAGAGTCTCTCTAAACTGCAGGCAGGAATATCTTCTGAACACTGGGGCCCAAGAGACTATTACAGATTCTTAAAATATACTAGAAAAAACCATGATCAAGAATAAATATCTACTGAAATGGAGATTCAGCTCAAGACCAGGAAAATTTAAGCGTGAGTATGTCTTCAGGGCTTTGTTGAAAAACATTGATCAGTTTGCTTGGTCATGTTAGCTGTCTGATTATTTTCAAAGGGGTTTTCTGGAAGATTCCTGCTCTGGCCAGACCTTTGTCCATTCCCATGAATAAGCCAAGCTTGGCTCCAGGAGCCCTTCCCCAGGCCTGACCTCAATTCAGACTGAGGAGGACCTCTGCTATCCTATCTTGGGTAGGGGTGGGATGCATGTGAACATGGGTCTCTTGGGAACACAGGTGAAGTCAACAAGCTGAGTTTATCCCTCTTCTACCCTGGCTACTCTCTAAATCATGTTTTTGCCTGCTCAGTCTGCACTTTCTCTGTGGTGCTGGGTATGTGCTCTGAGGATAAAACAGACCTGGCAATAGGCCAAAATAAACCCTGTCGATCAGTCAGAAATGCTCAGTTCTATACAAACAGACCTCATCACTATATCAACTGAGTTGTCTATCTAAAAGTGACCCTGTCTCCTGGAGGTGACTGACATCCAGTCCTCCAAAGCAGAAGATCACTTCCAACACAGGCAAGGGCCTCTCATAGTAGAGAGATGGAGAAAGGGATCATTGATTAGATGTCTGGTACAGATCTAAAAGGAGTCACAGCTATGACACTCATAGGAAGTGGAGTGTTGGGGAGAACTGCTGACTCAGAATGGGAAGTTTGTCTCTGTTATGTGTATGCAAGTATATTTGTGGAGGGGCTGGAGCATTAGCCCCAAGGATTTGGTCAGGGAGCTCTGCCAGTAACCCATGGAAGATGGACACAGTAATTTGATGTTCTGTATTTCCTGTACCAATCCCAATCATATTCTTTTTGCTTTCTCCACAAGTGTGTTTGTTATTCTTGTCAGAGGCCACAGAGAACTGCAATCATTTCGCCAGCTTCTCACAAATCCAGCGCAAGTTGATGTTACATGGTGCAGCATCGAATGTATTTGTTAGGCCTATGGTCACACAGTCGAAGTTCTGATGCTGATTGATAATGCTAAATGGGAAAGGAAGTGTGGTTAAGGCCCATTGTTTCAGTCCTGCCTTTTGCCAATTCCAGTCCCCCTTCTCCTATCCCCAAATCTAGCCCTACGCTGGCCCTTTTCTGTGAGCCTTCTCACAGCCTTCTCCTGTGAGGTGGACTCACAGTCTTGGATTAAATCACTCTTGTGCATGGTAGAAACATCTCATCTGTCTTTGTCTCCTAGAAATAATGTTTTAGTACTGTATGTGCTATGTTCACAGCAGGAGGATCGAGAGGTTGCTCTTCCTTTCCTAGGCACCAGCTGGCTTTAGGAGAAACTCTGTTGGCCTTTCCCCACCTCTTTTTCTGCCATTCAGCCCCTTTCAATCTGACTGGAAAGGGTCTGGTTTCATGGAAATGCCATGAGTTTTGGAGTCAAGTGGATGTGGCAGAGCCACAATTTAATCTACCCAGCTTGGTGATATTCAATACATTTTTAAGCCTCCCATCCTCAGTTCACCTGTCTGTTAAATGAGAATTAATAAAAGCTTTGTCTACAGCATCATTGTGAATACTGCAGGAAATGACATGAGTAAATGCTTCGCAAGTGCCTGGCATTTAGTAGACATTGAATGAATCTTCCTTGCCTTCCTTCTGTGAGAAGCCCAATTATAGGCTGGGAACTGACTTGCTTTCTGTCTGACTCCACATCTTCTTGTGTATACCAGGAGTGTCACATTCTCCACCAACACTTATGTCCATGGAATGATACACAGGAGGTAGCTCTTGGGAATTGAAGTTCATAGCTTTAAGGTACAGACAGTTGCTAATAATAAACTTCCTTTACATAAAGAAGTTCTATCTGAGGAACTTGTAAAAACTTAGTAATAAAATGTAGTCTGTGAGTTAAAAGAGACTTATGAGATATATCAAACAAATGGTATGTATGTGCATTTGTTTGCATCTTGATTTGAACAGAAGAACTCATTGGATGAATACTCTTCTCTCTACTTAGAAATGTTTGGCATTTTCCTTAATAAAAGTTTACCAAAAATGTGTCTCTGGGAATAGGTGCACTGGAAGAAAGGAGAGGAATAAAACAAAAAGCCAAGTCTCAGCTTTTGTGCTCTTCCAGGATAAACTCACTGAATCTCAGGTCTGGTCTCTTTAGGCAAACTAAGATCCTTAGAAAAACGTGAGATATTCACATACTTGCCATTGAATGGGGAGTTGTTGATCCAACGCCATGTTTTCTCTGTATCCTGGTATAAGCCAATAAAATACTTCTCAGCACCAATTATGTCCTGCAGAAATTTCTAGAAGTTAAAAAATAAACAGTTCAACAAAAAGGTTTATTTTTTATTTTTTATTATTATTAAAAAAAATTTTTTTTCTGTCGTCTCCCTTGTGCCAAAAGGCCCTGATTATATCTGATTCTGGGAACAGGAAGGCTGGTAAGGGACTCTGGGGCTGGTTGTAGCTGGCATCACCATAAACCCTAGAGTAGTTTTCAGTATACACAGAGCATCAGGATCACCTAGAGGTCTTGTTAAAACACAGCTTGATGGGCTCCCGATTCCTGGGAGGTCTAGTTTAGGGGACCAAGAATTTACATTCCTACCAAATTCCCAGGTGATGCTGATGCTGCTTTCCAGGGACCACACTATGAAAATGAAGAGGAAGAGTACTATATGATCTAAAAAGGGACAATTTCAAATAATTCTTTTTTTACTTAGCATGCCTCTCTGTTTCACTGCCAGAAATTTTACATTCCAAATGAGGTTGGATCGAGTGAATTTCTTGAATTCTTAGCAAGGCAATATAGTTGGGGAGATTTAAAAGTGTGTTGAGAAATAATCAGTGAATTTTGAGTATTTGCTAAATTGACACCAATCTATGATATCTTAGTTTCTTTATTAAACTAATGAATCACAAATCACTCTAGCCAGAAGTCTGGGAGTCCCTGGGCTCTTTTCTGTACTCTTTATAAACCTCCTGTCGTAAGTGAATGGGTATACAAGTTCACTTGGATATTTCTCTATCCCAGGGATATTGGCTTTATTCCTCTTTTTCCAATATTCTCCTTCCATGAAATGTCTCATTTCATTATTCTTTAAGATTAATTACTGTATTTACTTATTTAACAAAGATTTCTTGAGTATCCAGTGAGCCATTGTATGAGGCCAGGACATGGAAACAAATTGGTTTCTCCTTAAAAAATTTATGATCTGAAACAAGGGTTGGCAAACTACAGCCAGTGGTCAAAATCCAGACTTTAGCCTGTTTTGTAAATAAGGTTTTAGTGGAACACATCCAGGCCCATTTTTTATATATCATCTATGGCTGCTTTGAGCTACCAGGGCAGCATTAAGCGGTTGTGATAGAGACCGTATGACCTAAAAATATAAAATACTTACTCTTTGACCACCTGACCATTTTTTAAGAAAAATTTGCTGACAAATGGTTTAAAATAAGGGTTCTTAACCCTTAACTCTCTTGCACTGATCCATGGATGGTTATGAAGGGGATTCATGAAGCTGTTGGAACTTTACTCAAAATATTATGCTTATGCAGTGTTTCTGGGAAGAGGTGTATAGCTTTCATCACCATTGTTAAAATGTCAGTGATCCCAACATGTTGAAGATCCACAGGTCTAATAAGAGAAGATAGATGAGTTAATAAGCATAGTGAGGTCTCCCAGGTGTAGAGCTAGGGAATATGTACTAGGTATAGAACAGACAGAAAGGAGGAAGTGATCAATTCTACATGGATTTGGGGTCTTCTAGAAAGATGAAGTGATACTTGAGATGAATTCTGAAAAATAGCTGTTTGTCAGGAAAATGCTAGGGGAGGGTGTGGGATTTCCTGGAAAAGGGAGCATCCGATCACAGGTGGACTTCAGGGCGCCTGAATGTGGTTATGTAGAGGGAGAAGGGAGGCTGGTGGAGAGACAAGACTGGCACGAAGGGAGGTGCTAGACTACACAAGGCCTTATATGTCATGCTAGGAAAACTGGACTTTAACCCACGTTAATTTGGAAAATGGCACAGACAGTTTAGAGTCTTAGAGATATTTTTGTGTGGGTTCTATGGAGGATAGGTAAGAAGGGGCAAAATCGGGGGTAAGGAGAGGAGTTGGAAGAATTCTGAAGAAATCCAGGTGAGAGATGAATAATTTTCTTTGGGGACAGAGAGGAAAAGAGTTGGTTAGCAACTCATTTAGGGGATAAGAGAAGAGGTAAAGTCTCAGAAAACCATCAGCATTCAATCTTGGGTGACATGACTACTCACCAGTATTTGGATCACAAAAGGAGAAAGAGCATTTGAGGTAAAATATAATTTGGCTCAGTTTTGAACATGATGAGTTTGGGGTGCTTTTGAAGGATCAAAGTGGATTTTGATATACAGTCTGGTCTAGAGAAGACTAGCTAGGGATACATACTTGAGATCACTAGCAAATTGTTAGCATGATGAGCTTTTTCTGCAGAATGCCAAGGATGACACTTGAGATGCACCAGAACTTGAGGGTTGAGTAGAGGAAGAGTCAGTTTCCTCTACTCAACCCCCTTTTCCCCTCTCCTTTTCTCCTTTCTGCCCCACAGCTTACTCCTGGTTTTCTACTGTAAGGCATTTCCCCTTAGCCTCAGAGGATCTGTAGCATCCTGACCCCTGCTCTTTGTTAGACACCTGTCACCAAGATTCAGAGAGGGCCCTCTTATGAGTTCTCTTCAACCACAGGAGGACTTTATAGATGAGAGGTGAAAGATAGAGAGCAGAGAAGCAGCAGTGGAGTATGTAGCACATGCCTACCACTCAGCAGATGCTGGGATTTGAAGGAGAGGCAATGATCAAGAAGAAAACTTATGATCTAAAATTGATTAGAGCATGGGTTTTAGAGTTAGAGAGAACTCAATTCAATCCTGTCCTGTCATTAGTGTGTGTACAACCTGGGTCAAATTATTTTTCTCTACCCTAGCTTCCTCATATACAAGATATGGGTAATGATACCCCCTCATAATCTTTATGAGGATAAAAAGAGGTAGTAAAATAAAGGTTTTTCCATTGTGTTTCCCTTTTTAACTATCCTAACTGTATACCACTATCCCAGTTCTATGACTTGATGCTTTCATGCACATTAGCTCATTTGGTCATTCCCTGCACTTTAAATGTCCTGACCCATCCTGAGGACTGGACCAGTGCACTGCTAAGCTTCATGGGAGAGATGATACAGTGTGGATTTCCCTAGCTCAAATGACCTGAGGAATATACCCCACTGCTACTGTAGTCTCCCACCTTCCGATTCAGAGCAAGGAGCTTGGGCTCTCAGCCAGCCACCTCTCCATTTCTCACCTCCACCCTGCCCCTACTCTACCAAATCACCCCACCATCTCCACCTGCTGAGGCTACTGTAGCATGGGCTTTTCCCAGTGCACTCACCAGTTTCTCTGGTGTGTTGACAATGGCCAAAGTGGATCCTTCTGTTTTGCAAAAGTCCCTGCTTTTGTTCCAAGACATTTCAAAAGGGGACAACCAAAAGCATTCTCCTTGATGAAAATACCACCTGTTGGGGCAGACTAAAGAAATGCAACAAAAGAGAGTATAGGATTAGTGGTTTGGAGCGTGAACCCTGGAATGGAGTCATAACATAGTAGGGCATGAATGTCTTTATAGCAGTTATATCTCTAGAAATCATCCTCAATCCAGGAAGAAATCCCATGCAGTCTAGTATTAGTTTCCCTGTGGACAACATGACAGGGATGAATTGGAAGGTCTTTATGGCCCTTTTGGGCAAAAAAGTTCCATAAGAAAGGAGACAATGGGAGAAGTGTCTAAGAATTCAGCACTTAAGAACCTCATGTTGAGGGGAGATAATTGTCATGCACTTTACCTGTTCCATAGCTCTGTGTAGGAAGTAGGGTGACATTACTGCTCCCGAAAGTCAGTGGGACTGAAACAAAAAGAAATTCTGAAGGCAACTGCATCATGAATACAACACAGAGCGGGTACTGAGTCCCTGATTTGTCTCTGGACAGTGGCAAAGACGAGACACTCTTGGCCACCCCCTGCGAGAATTTTTCATTTTCTTTCTTTGAAGCTTCCAGCTAACTACTACTATTTTTTGTCATGCCCTGCACCCCAAGTCCTATTTCATATCTTTGTGTGTGTGTGTGTGTGTGTGTGTGTGTGTGTGTGTGTGGCAGTAGGTGTGAAATGTTGAGAAAAAGAACAGGAGAAAAGAAGAGGAGTGGGTGAATTTAGTACCAGGAGGGAAATTTCCCACTCCTTTCTATATATACTTTTGACAGTGTTCCCCTCTCCCAGGCGCTGTTTGGAGCACTGCCCTCTGGGCTCCACAGAGCAGGTGCCATTCATCCCATGTCTGATCTCCCAACACCCCCCCTCCCACGCCACTCCCTACCCCTGTGAGCCCTCCTTCCGCAGGCATCTCTTGGCTCCCTCTTATGGGAACCTGTCAATTCTAAGAATTGAGGCTAACTGGAACTAGGTTCAAGACTGGGGGTACTGGCAGACATGGAGGCAGGTGAACATTCCAGAGATTTCCTACAAGCAGAGTCCGTTTATTTCTTTAAATATAAATAGGGGAACTGATAGGCCTCTAAGAAGTCTCATTTTCCCCGGTTGGCCAAGCAGATATTGCAGTGGCTTCAGACGCTGGTCAAAACCTCTCCTCAGCTGCCCAGTTATTTGTCTTGTGTGGTTGAAGACCAATTTAGTTTACCCAGACACCAAATCAGCAACTTAAATTATATTAATGAAACATACAAGTGAGCATTCACTTTTTATTTCAGTCCCCAGCTCAAAGGCTCTTTGTAATGTAAAATAACCTGGTTTTCATGAGAAACTATTTTGGGATTATAGCTGCACAGAACTTTATAAGTATTTCATGAATATTTCCTCCATTTAACTCACTGTTCTGGGAGCCTCAGCTGATATGAAGATGAACAAGAAATTATCTTTCTCCTAAAGATGTTTGTAGTAATTAATGTTTTAAGAGGAAGTGAGAGGGAGGTCCTTGGAAAAGCTTTAAGAGGAGGAGGTTTGATAGGGAAAGCCCTCGTTTTTGCCCCTTCGCTTCTGGCATGGGGCTTTGTGCTTTATAGAGGACAGCTGACTGGTTATCTCCTGTTCGCATTCTTCTGTTGGTCTAGCAGAGTGATCAGCACACAAAAAAATACTGATTATAATCTTTGAGTTTTTTTGTGGGACATGTTTTTTTTTTATGGCAATTCCTGTAGGTGTACAACATGTCAGAGTTTATAAGGTACTTTCTAATTACATTATAGTAATTATATACAAATCATCCTCATATCCAGGAGGAAAACTGAGGATCAGAAATTTCAATCAGCTTAGTCTAGGTTTCCCATTGATAAAAGCAAGGAAGTTAATTAGATCCTTTTTCTTCTGGGAGTGCTGCACTTTCCCCCCTCATTTTGAGATATAAACATTGTGTAAGTTTAATTAGGTGTACAAGGTGATGATTTGATCCATGTATATATTACAAAATTATTAACTACACAGTAAGGCTAGTTAACACCCCCATCACATCACATAATTCCCCCCCCCCTTTTTTGGTGGTGAGAATATTTAAGATCTAGTCTTTTAGCAACTTTCAAGTAGTGTGTAATACAGTCTTGTAAACTATAGTCATCACGCTATACATTAGATCCCCAGAATGTATTATTCTTATAGCAATTAGAGTATCTTTTTTTTTTTTTTTTAACGTTTATTTATTTTTGAGACAGAGAGAGACAGCAGAGGTGGAGGGGCAGAGAGGAGACGGGAGGACAGCAGAGGCTCCCAGGCTCTGAGCCATCAGCCAGAGCGTGACGGGCTCATCCCCGGACAAGATCGTGACCTGAGCCAAAGTGAGGGCGGCTGCCAGGCGCCCCGCAATTAGAGTATCTTTATGGACCCTTCCTGCAAATGAATTTCTTGAGAAAGAAGGGCTGGAGAAAGGTCTGTAAGAAGTCAGCACACAAGAACCTGGAGGTGCAGAGGAGATACTTGTCATGCACATTACCTGTTCCATAGCTCTCTGTGGGAAGGAAGCTGACATTACTTCCGCCAAAAATCTGTGGGACTGCAAAGAAAATCAGTTGTTGGCTCAGTCCCAAAGGACTGAATACACGATGAATATAACAAACCAACATCACTGCGGGGGCTTCTGGGGCGCCATGATTGTTACTGTGTGATCAGAAGCTCTCTGACTCAGGTCAACAAAGATGTGTAGGTGGTTTTTTTTTGTAAATGTGTTTACTTATTCATACTCATATTTTCTTCCTGCTCTCTTCTGTGATAGGAAATGCAGCTTCAGTTTGAGTCAGAGGGAAGACACCTTTTACTCAACTGCCTCTTTCACTCATGTTTCCTTCCTCATTCATGTTCCCTACCAGTTTCTGGGGCTGGAGAAGATTCTTGCTACAACTGCAGTGAAACCCTTTGCTATGGAGACTCTTCTCCTAAGCATCTGGATGGAAGTTTCTATGGACACAGGGGGAAATCTGTCCCCTAGTAAGATCCCATTACCTTATTACGCAGCTCTTACCTCAGCCTTGTCATTGGGTTGAACTGACACTGATTTTCAATTTTGAGCAGCAATAAGAAGCACTGACAAGTATTTTACCTCAGATTACCCAACTAACATTGTAGTGGCGAAAGCTTTGTATGGTGTTCAACCGTCAGACACTGGTCGGTTCTACATACCCAAGGCAGACCAAGGCACCTGGCCCATTGTGTGTGCTGGGAAGTGAGACGAATATTGTCAGTTGCCCCTACACTGGGTCCTTGCCCTCAACTGGAAAGACTTAGGCACATAACTTTTATATTCAACTACACATTTTGGGAAAAAAGTCAAAGAACAAGACCGTATGAGGTTAGGGTAAGAGGTTGCTCAAATACTCACAATAAAGCAGGAAAAAGGTCATTCCAACCATTTTAAGCACCACTATGATAAGCCCAGAGATTATCATATGCCAATTCATGATGAAGGAGATGAGAAGGCCTGTGGGGATTAGAGCACAGTACCACATTCAGAATCTGGGAACAAGGCTTCTTTCCAGCAGGACTTATGCCTCTTTTCAGGAGCACCCTTGGGGGGCTTGGAAGGCAGGCATGCCATTGACAGCTAGCTACAAGTATGAGATTTGACCCATGCCCAGAAGATGCATAGGATCTTGTACTGATGGAATGCTCCCTCTCCTTCACCCACACTTTAGCTCTAGACTTTATCCATGTCTATTTGTGGCCTCCTAAACTCTGTCTAATGAAATAAATCCTCTCCTGGACTCTTTGAGAACCTTTAGCTTTGAAATGACCCTGATCTCTGGGACCTACTCTGTGGTCTTGGCCATACAGACTACAGCTGTCAGAAGACCCAGTCTCTAAAAGCCTATGCCAGGACTCTGACAGACAGGACAGGTGTCCCCGAAGGTCTTGGCATTGGGGAAAGGCCAACAATCTGTGCCGAGAACAGACAAACAGACTCACCTGCTCTCTCTTGGGAAGGTTGGCTTAGTTTGCAGATGGGGTCTTATGCTTGGTGTGGTGGGGAGAGGCACCTTCAGAGAATATGCTCCTTCTGTTCAAGCACCGTCCTTCCTTCTTCACACAGTGTTTCTATCTTAGCAGCATCCCTGAGCAAACACTTCTTCCTGTTAAGTCTTCTTGGCAATGGGAGTGGGTGGGGCAAGGAGGAGAAGGGAGTTTTTAGACTCTGCAAGAGGAAGCTTCCTGCCAGAGGGGATCTAGTAAAGGGGAACATTTTTAGAGGACTTTGGAAAACCACCTTGACACAGACTCACCCTTTCTATGTGTCTGAATCTACTTGAAATACAGTAGAAAGGAAAGGTAGTAAAAGATTAACAAATAGGGAATCTGGGTGAAGGATATCTGGAAATTATTTGTACTTTCCTTGCAACATTTCTGCATAGCTGAAATTATGTCAAAAATAAAAATTTTAAGCAAAAGAAATCCATCTGAAGTCACTAATGTTAATGAGAAGGTCCACTCACTGTCTGCTCCATTCACTGTCATACAGCTCTGCACAGTACCTTTCATCATGGACTCCTCTCTGGTCCCAGACCAGGTGCCACCTGAAGATGGGGACCATTCAGTATTTCTTGAGCATGGCACTCTGCTAGATGGAGGAAGTGAAGTGAGGGTGAACAATACTAATGTCTTATTATCAGGGAATTTTTACTGCATATTAAATTTGAAGTTTTCCTTTTATTATATTTCCCTAATAGAAAAGCTACATGTGCTTATTACAAAAAATGGCTAGAAAATATTCACAGGGAAAATTGAAAAAACAAAAATGTCTACATAAATCCACACATTCAGCTGTGATCACTGTTAACATCTCTGGTCGTATATTCTTTCTAAATGAGTAGATAATAGAAAGATAGATGATAGATTAGATAGATAGATAGATGATAGATTAGATAGATAGATAGATGATAGATTATATAGATAGATAGATAGATAGATAGATAGATAGATAGATAGATAGATAATAGATGACAGGTAGATGCTGGTTCATTTAGAAAAATGGTATCGTATTATATATGTTGTTTTGTAACCAAATCCTATAGGTTAAGCTAGCACTATATGGATATCCTTCCATGTTAAAATATGGATTTTGGTAATGTATTATTTTAAAGTTTATTTATTTATTCATTTATTTATTTTAAAGTAATCTCTATACCCAACGTGGCCTAGAACTCACAACTCTGAGATCAAGTCACATGCTCCACCGACTGAGGCAGCCAGGTGTCCTGGTAATGTATTATTTAATATACATATAGTATTTAAGTATAAACATATATGATTTACTTAACAATTGACATCTGTAATCCTTCGGGTAAAGTGTAGTGGATATGAAAAAAGTTTTAAGTTAGTCCTGGGTTACTGGTAACTTTAAGTTAGTCTTGGTTACTGCTTCTGCCATTTACTAGCTAGGATGTCCTTGACTAAGTTCCTTAATCTCTTTCCATTTCTTCATTTAGTAATAGGAGTAATTATAGTAAATGCCAGATAACATTGTTGTGAGAATTAGCCAAGGTAATGCTTACAATTTTATTAGCATGATACCTGTCACCTTGATATAATTTCTTATTACTCTACCTATTTTGTAATGTTGACATCAAAAGCTTTTGGAGTCCACAGCCCATTTGGGAAGATTACTGGAAAGGGCCTTCTAGCTGCATGGTTGTAAGGAAGGTGTCATACATTGTTCTCTGAAAAAAAGATGAGATCACTGTAATCCTCAATCAGATGTTATAGGCTGAGATATAAGATTTTCTGCTTTGTGGGTCCAATTAGACATTTTTCCTCCAGACCAAGCCCTAAAAGTACAGGAGAAAGTCTTTCTTAAAGAAGAAAACTGAGTTTAATGGGTATAGAGTTTGATTTTACAAGAAGAAAAGAGCTATGGAAATGGATGGTGGTGATGGCTGCACAAAATTATGAATGCACTTACCAGTGGTCAAGGTGGAAAATTTGATGTATATTTTACCACCATTAAAATATTGAAAAAGAAACCCTGAAGTTTGACTTTGGTAGTCTTCACATGATATTAAGATGAAAATGCAGTCTTTAGGATGTATATTATGCAATATGATAATTGTCTTTCTAAGACAATGGAGTCCCCTGTAAACTGAAAGCACCAAAGAGATCAGGGAGATAGAAAGCCTTTCCCATACCTGTTTTTGGAAAAACTTTGAAGGAGACACAGTATATAGCTAAACAAGGCTTCTGGATGTACTCTGGGTGTGTTGGGGGGAAAATAGCGTGTGTGTGTGTGTGTGTGTGTGTGTGTGTGTGTGTGTGTGTGTGTGTATGTGTGTGTGTGTGTGTGTGTGAGAGAGAGAGAGAGAGAGAGAGAGAGAGAGAGAGAGAATTGAAATGGATAGTCATTAACAGCTCTTCTAAGGAAGAACAGAAGTAGGGACAATGGAGTATCCCTTCCTCAGCTTCCAGGATCAATGATTAAAGCGGCCAGAGTATGGCACCAAATAGATGGATTGCCTGTTTTCAGAATCTACACCCTGTGATGACAATGGCAGCAAAAATACCAGTGACAGTGGGGACTGCGACTGCCCTCTTTGGACTGATAAGCAACCATGGATATCGTGTGGAGGTATCTGGGAAGGAAATCTAGAAGGAGGGGCTCTTATGATTCATTGCTTGGTGTTTTGGAGTAGTATCAATATGACCGTTTACAAAAATGACTACATTTTATACCTCACACACAGAAAGATAGACGAATCCTGTCTCTTGAGCTTTATTAGGCACATATACATTTAAATGTATGTATGTCCCTCACTCTATATTGCAGGAATTCTTTCAAGCAGTTTAATGAGAAAACTTGGAAATTGAAAGAGACCTGTTGTTTCCTCTTTTCTTCCCAGTCCCAATCTTGAAAGGATTGTCAGTTTTTACTGCCTCCTCTCCCTTGCCTCCCACTTTCTCCTCAGCTCACTCCAGTCTGAATCCCACCATGACTACATCATGAAGTAATGATTCCTACTCAATAGTTAAATGAATACCATTTGGTCTTCAAATTTCCTGATCTTGAACAGGGCCCCACAGCATCTTATGTTGTATACTTTTCCTTGGCCTCCATGACTCCACGTTCTCCTGGTTTCCCTTCTTTCTCTCTAGACTCTCTTTACTTTCTTCTCTGCCTATTCCTAAAATTATATACATATCCCTCTTCTCTTCCAAGTCTCATGGTTTCAGTCACCATGCTCATGAAGATGAGTCTCAAATCTTCACTCTGAATTTCAGATCTGTGTATCTTTTGACTAGTTTCACTTTTCACTGAGATGTTCCACAGACAATCTGGAGTCCGCATGTCCCTAAATATATTAATTAATTAATTAACTTTCTTTTAAAACACATTCATCCTCTTATGTTCTCTGTCTCAGAATGTGAAGATCATCTACTCAGTTTCCTAAATCATAGAAGGTGGGTCTTCTCCTTGGCTCCTCTCTCTCTTCCCTCTTTCTTCTCTTCTCTTCCCATCCACTCGAACTCCACACCATGATGATTCTGTCTCCTCAAGTGTGTCAGACCTGTGTTCTTGTCTCCTTTTTCACAGCTGCCCCTTGTGGTCTCACCAGCTCTCCCTTCCATCTTCTCAACTATCTCCAAAAAACCCTCTCACCATACTCTTGCTTCAACAGTTCACTCTGTAGTCAGGATGATTTTTCTAAAATGCAGACTTGATTAGATCATTTCCCGGATGAAATGTGTGAGTAACTTTCCATTGCTGTTAGCATAAGGTTTGGGTTCCTCATTGTGGTCTATGAGTCTTTGTGTGTTCATTACTGTAGCAAATGTTGCTGAGTGCTTGCCATGTGCCGGACATGTTTCTTGGGATGTGCGTTCTGGTTTTTCTGTGCGTCTCAGGATACCACATCTACCCATGCACCGTCTGCTAGCAACATTACACTTCTAGTTCTTTATTCACTCTCCTGGATCCAAGTCTTCACATATTCACCTGACATATATTTATTGAGCACGTAATATGTGCAAAGCCATAATTGAATCACCTCGCCTCTCCCAAGGACATATACATTCTTATATATTCTCTTTAACTAGATAATTTTGACTCATTCTTTGAGTCTAAGGGGAAATGTGACTTCATTCAGGAAAATCTCCCTGATTCTCCTTTCTTGGGTTTAGGTGCCCTTTATCTATGGACTCATGATATCATGTCCTTTTTCCCTGAGGGCTAAGGTAAAGGCATGATAAAGTACTTGTTTGCTTCCCCTGCTAGACTCTATGAAGTCATGAAGACGGGGCTGAGCTTATTTTCATCAGCACCGGAACCCTGGCATATCCACAGTGTGTGGAACACTGCACTGTGGCATTAGGCTTCTAGGCTTGCTGGATTTTTATCATGTACTTGTGGGAATGTGGCAGGGCCTCTAAAATACTTCTAATCAATTAAAAATTTGTGTAATATTCTTTGTGCAAATTAAGTCATTTTCAATAAGGATAATTTAAGAGCCAGACCACCTCTGAAGGTATTGATTCTTGGTTAGAAAATGTCATATCTTACTTAAATAACCATCCTGAAGTATGGATTGTGACTATAGTACCTCAAATGATAACTAACCACCTCCTAGTTTATATAGAGTTCATTTATGTTCACATATATGTTACTAATACTGTGTCATTTTAAAGTAAATTGCCACTCAGACAATGCAAGCCCCAAAATTTATAGAATGCATGGAGTAAGTCTGCTTTTGGAATAACAAGAAGAATCTTCCATTAGAGCAGTATTATGTATACTCAAACCTGAAGAGTCAAGAGCTGGAGGTGAGGGGCAGCTGGAGAGCCTGGAATGGAGAAGATTTAGAGCCTCTGGGAAGGTTGTCAGGTTCTGGAACCTACCAGGAGCAGCATGGAAACCCTAATAGTTGGCTTCCACTTTGTGCAGTGACTCACTGAATAAATTAGAAGTCGTGCTACAGAGGACAGTCATCCAATTGGATAATGAGGGCATTTCTGCATTACTAGCAAGCTCCCGTGGCACAATAAAAAAGCGCTATACTCAGTGGTTAGATTTCTGCTCAGGTTGTCTCTAGTTGGGCAAAACAGAACTGAGGAGGTAAAAATAACTTTCTCCATGTTTCTTCATCAGACCCTATAAAAT